AAAATAAATAAACGTTAAAAAAAAAATAAAAAAATAAAAAAAAAAGGAAGTCCGCAATAGTCTTGCTAAGGAGGTGGCTTTAGGCCAAGATCTAAATATTGAAGTGCCTTCCAGAGCCTGGATTCAGCAAAAGGAACCGCAAGCACAAAGACACTGAAGCAAGGAAAATCCAGGAATGGTAGAGGCCTTGATGGAAAGGCACTGGAGCTGGAAGGAGCCCCAGGATGGATGTAGTTGGAGCTGCAGTCAGGGGCCAGATCATGCTGGATTTAGATGCTATGGTAAGGAGTTCAGACTTATTCAAAGAACCATGAAGAATCACTGCAGAGTTTTAGACAGGGGACAAATAAGATTCAATTTATGTTTCTTAAAAAAAGTCGTCCTGTCTTAAAACTTGGAAGAAGGCATGGGAAGAAACAAGGAGAATAATTAGAAGGTAATTGCTATTGCATGTAGGCTGTAAAATAGCCGCATCATGTAACAGGGGTGGAGACTGGGGGGTGGGGAGTGGAGTTGTCACAATTTATATGGAATATGGTAGGAATGAGGCTATTACGAATTTATCAACATTTGGTCTTGTCAGGCAATCATGATTGGCAATTCAGAAGGAGAGAGGGGGACAGATGGCAATCAGATTTTAGAAGTAGCTTTGACAGAATTTGCTCGTTCTCTGGATATGGGAGGTGAGAAAGGCAGCCTTCTAAAATGACTCCCAATAATCCTGGCCTCCTGATATTCAAACCCTTGTGTAATCTTCTCCTCTTGAGTATGAATGAGATGTAATGACTTGCTTCTAGCAAGAAGAATAAGACAGAGTGACAGAATGTCACTTCTGAAATTAGGTTATAAAAGACTGTGACTTTTGTATTGCTGCATCCTACCTCTGACTCTTCTTACAGGCTTAGGCTTTTGCTGATAGAGAGGGTCACCCAACAAGGAACAGAGAGCATCCTCTGGCCAAAAGATAGCAAGGAACTGAGACTCTCAGTTCATTGGCCAGAAAGAAACTGGATTCTTCCAGCAACCATGTACGGGAGCTTAGAAGTGGATCCTTCCCAGTTGAACCTTCAGATGAGACCACAGTTCTGAGCCAACACTTTATTGCAGCCCTGTGAGAGCTTGTGAAGCAGAGGACCTACCTAAGGTGTTCTGGATTCTTGACACACAGAAATGATGAGATAGTATGTGCATTATCTTATGCTACCAAATTTGGGAGTAGTTTGTTATGAACAACAGATAATAATAACTAATAATAGATGATAGGTAACTAATGCAGGAGGTGAGGGAAACAGAGAAATCAAGGATGACTGCCACCTAATTTCTGGCTTGAGCAACTAAGTGTCTAGAGATATCAAAACTCCAGGAGGAGAAACAGATTTCAGGAGTGAGGGTGGGGGTCAAATAAACAAGCATTTTGTGTATTAAACATCCAAGTGAGAAGTTGTGTGAGCCATAGATAGATATGGAGTCTGGAACCCCTTTTTCATGATGTCAGAAGTTGTACTTCTCTGCCAATCAGAGCAGTGAAATCCAAAAGTTGAGTATGGATTTAGGAGAAGGAGGTAAGTCAGTAGAGTTTAAGAAAATTAAGTCCTCTGTTTGGTCAAGCATAATTATCCCAAGTTCCATTCTGGTGTTTGAGGCTAAAACCCCAGGTGCTACTTCATTGTCCCTATTTTATCCTTGTTGTATGTGTCCTCCTTGAGGAAGAAGGGAGGCAGTAAGACAGAATATGGGAGTTTTTGCTTCACTGGGCCACATAGCAACATGACGGTGGCCATTTCTAAATCTGAAAGGCCTATACACCAAGCTTTAGCATAGCTCAGCATTTCTCCGCAAGGCGTCCATGTCGGCACTTGGCCCAGGACAATTCTTGTTGTGCTATTGTGTCCTGAGCATTGTAAGAGGGTTAGCATATGACAGTAGAACCAGCCAATCATTGTGACAACCCAAAACATCCTTTTCACATTTCCAGATGCCTCCTATTGGAATGGTACCTCACCCTCATAGAGAACCAATGGTAGCCTACGCTTGACCTTGCACTCTGCCATTTCCGTGGTGCCTGCTTTGAAGAGTTTCCAGGTTAGTAAACATTCTCATTCCTAAAATTTTAAATACAATGGGATCCCAAATAATTAAAATATAATGTTAATATAAGAATGATTCAGAATGTAATTGAATTTAAGAAAAAAAATTTTAATGTTTATTTTTGAGAGAGACAGGGAGTGAGTGGGGGAGGGGCAGAGAGTGAGAAGGAGACACAGAATCAGAAGCAGGCTCCAGGCTCTGAGTTGTCAGCACAGAGTCCGATGCAGGGCTTGAACCCACGAACCGTGAGATCATGACCTGAGCTGAAGTGGGGAGTTAAACTAACTGAGCAATCCAGGCTACCCAGAATATAATTGACTTTGAAATGATTTATGGGGTGCCTGAGTGGCTCAGTTGGTTGGGCGGCCGACTTCAGCTCGAGTCATGATCTCACAGCTCGTGAGTTCGAGCCCCACATAAGGCTCTGAGCTGACAGTTCGAAGCCTAGATCCTGATTCAGATTCTGTCTCTCCCCCTCTCTGTCCCTCCCCCACTCAGGCTCTGTCTGTCTCTCTCTCTCAAAAATAAATAAACATTAAATTTTTTTTTTTTAATTAATGATCTATAAGTCAACATGGAATCTGGTAGAAACTCAGAGACATTGTTATAACTGATCTTCTTTGGCCATGCTGAAAAGAGAGTTAATAGAACATTGGCTGGCAGTTCATAGTGAATAATAACACTTTGTGTCCTCATGCTTCCGATTTGTGACTGGAGATGCCCTGAAAGAATAGTTTGAAAGTTCTAAAACTTAATCTGGTGACTATAGCTGTGAATGTCTCACAAGACTCTATTTGTACGTTGGGGGTAAAGTATTACTCTATCTCAAATCTGTGTCAGAGAGAAAAAATATTTGCATTTACATATTTATGATAAGCTACGTTTTATTGTAGTGATTATCACAGAGCTTTTATTGGGCACCTATTGTGAGCCAGGTACTGTGCTAGTTTCTTTGAATGTGTTTTTAAATTTAATGATAATACTGCCGCTGTGGAGAGCAGTATTATCATTCCCAGTTTGCATGTAAGGACATGAAGGTTCTAATTGTGCAACTTGCTCAGGATCACTAAGCCAGTAGGAGACTGAGTCAGATTTTAAACCCAGACTTTGAAATTTTTTCTATGACTTCTTTAGACTACGTGGACCTGGAGTGATTTGATCCAACAGATATCCACCAAGTGCCAGGCCCTGCATTGGGCAAACAGAACAGAGATGCCCCTGCCTGAATGGAAGTGTATAAATAGGTGCACGGGTGTGTGGAAAGACGGATAAAAATAAATGATGGGGAGAAAGCATACAATAATCAGATGCAACCGGAGGGTAAGTGAGTGAGTGACCGACCGAATGAGGGAGGAAATGGAATGGTTAGGGAGGGAATGAATGGATGGATGGATGGATGGACGAGTAGATGGAAGGATGGATTAAAGAATGAATGAATGAATGAATGAATGAATGAATGAATGAATGAATGAATGAAGAGGTATTGAGGGCTTGCCCTACCCTAAGCCGAGCAGGCGTCTCCCAGGCGGGGTGCCGGGGGGCGAACGGGCGGTCCCATCAGCACGGCAGACGCGGGCTGCCCCTCCCCGAGCCTCCTCCCTCATGCCTCCCTTCCCTTCCCGGCCCCTCCCCCTTCTCCTCCTCCTTCCGCTGTCGCCCGTCTCGGCCGGTCGCCTGGATCCCAGTCCCGCGAGGAGGAAGGGAGGAGCCGCCGTCCCACATGCAGGTACTGCGCTCCGGCTGCCGCCCGAGGCGCGCCAGCGAGCGGCAGAGGGGTCAGTGCCGCCCTGGGATCCAGTCGTCGCCGCGCCGCACCGATGAATGCCCGCAGCAAGGCGAGGCAGGCCAGCTCCTGAACACCATGCTGCAAGCCAGCCACTGCGCTGTTGTTCCCAGTGCCGGCTCGCGCGCCGAGAGCCCCCTGGCGCGCTTCGCCCTGTGCCCCCCGGCGGTCTGTCTCTGCGCTGCACACCCCCTCATGCGCTGGTCTCCTCGGGCGTTCCTCCGGCCTGGGCTGGCGGCTCCTTGCTGACCAGGTGTTTCGAGGAGGCTGCCCTCTTGTTGTCCAGGCGTTGAGCTGGCTGCTGCCGCTGCCGGGGCGCCGCGAGCCTGGAGAAGTTGGCGAGGTGAGTCGTGGCAGCCCCAGAATCCCCTCTGGGACCCGTGTCTCACTCCCTCAGCCGGTGCCGAGTCCAGGGGAGGCTTTGGGCTGGAGGGACGGACTCCCAAGTTCACCCGCGGGCTGCCCACTTCTGTTTCTTGCTCCGCTGGAAAGTAAGAGCCACCTTCGTGGAGTCCTGTTGACAGCCCAGTGCTGTTGATCACGTACATTTTTGAAAGAGAAGTGTCAGGGAGGGTGGCTTATATATTACATTTCTTAACAGTCAGGGCAAGGCGTGTGTTTGCATTCTTGCAAACGTGCGCCCTTTGTTTAATCTTTCAAAAGCCATCACGATGCAAGAATGCTTTATCTAATTCTCATGTTTCACTGGAGGATTTTTTTTATATATATACCAAAAACTTAGATGTAATTCAGTTGGAAAAGTTAGATGTTTACCGAAGACTAGCTGCCTCTCATTGAACCTTGAATCGCCCTGTGCTTAGAACAGAAGAGGCACTCGACCTAAGTTTATTAAAAAGTTTTCTTCTTGGAAGGAGCGTGGCGTGGCACGGGCAAAATAGAGTGACGGTTTCCCTGTTCCTCGTTGTGTTTCAGACTTAAGTACGGTCCAAGTGTCTTACAAGCAAAACATCTTAACCTTTGACATTATGTTTGATATTCTCTTTCTCTGCGTGGAGTTTAACCCGCCACAGCTTTTCATCGGAGCGTTTTATCTTTGTCCTCAGGGTTGCTGGACCGCCCCCAGGTTAGGGATTTGCGTTCATTTCCTTTGTTGTGGAGAGCTTTTTTAACAATCCCCTTGCAGCGAGTCTGTTTCCTCTGCCCTTTGGAAGCTGGTGATGTTTGTAACTGCTGTTGCTGCGTCTGCGTGTGCTGGACTCCTTAATTACTTGAAATGAGTTGAAGAATTCTTTTTGGCCGTAATGACTAAATCTGTTTTGCCGCTTTTACTGTAAGAGAATAGACACAAAACCTCAAGAAGTAGCTGTGTCAGCTTTTGTTTCTCTTCTGCCTCATAATAAATGTACAGATGGGTAGTGACAAGTTTTAGAGGGGGGAAAAAAAACCCCAATGATCTACAGAGTCGCTTTTAAGCCGTTAGAGCCATTTACGGCATTTTATGAATGTATGCATACTTTAAGGCTATATCTGTTAGGAACTGAGGTTTCTTAGAATGTATTATGTTAAGGTTCAACTGCAAGTTTACTATGATTTGTAGTGGATGGGACAACTTTTACATCAATAATAATTGACACCATTTAACATAGCTAATAACCTTTTGCCAGGTACAGTGCTCACAGGGGTATGTAAAGATAGTCATTGTTGACATATACCGTGCATATATTAACCATGTCAACCACACCGCAACCCTATGACAGTGGTTCTCAAAGTGCAGTCTGAACCAGCAGCAGCCGTGTCACCTGGAGCCTTGTTAGAAATGCAGATTCTCAGGCCCCACCCTAGCCCCATGAAATCAGAATCCCTTGGGATGAGGTCAGTAATCCATGTTCTAACAAGCCCTCCTATTGTTTCTAACACACACCAGCGTTTGAGAGCCTGCTCTACGAAGTAGGCACTAATATCACCCCCATTTTACAGTTAAGGAAGGTAATGCACACCGTTCAGCCGCCTGTTCAAGGTTCATAGATCACGTGTGATAGATAAGGATGAAGATTCAGGCAGCCTGGGCCCAGTACATTCTTACCTGCTATGCTGATGTCCTATGCTAACTAGTCTTGCCTGTGTGTCATAAGTTTTTCTGAGATTTTTCTAAAGAAACATCATAGATTTTTTACAGTGGTCTCATTCTTCAAGGTATTGGGAACATGGGACAGCATCTTCTTGTCTCTATCTGAACAAATTGGCTCTGACTAGGAAGAGATCATGAACAGAATCCAGATGGATGTTTTAGGAAAGGACTATTTCCATGAGCAGCAGTAGATCCTGAAGCCATTTTTCTTTTTGAACATATCTCTTATATCATCATGGAAGTCATGGCCAACACCATAGGAATATAGAACAAAATTTAAAAACTCAGGGCAGAGTGGAAAACAAAAAAGCCACCAGAAGTCTCAAGCTCAAATGCATAAAGATGAAAGTCTAGTGTCCTCTGGAGAAGTTGACATTTTCTGGGACGTAATAACTTTTTTTTTTTTTTTTTTTTTTTTTTTTTTTTACTACCTGGACAGAAATGGCGACAGAAGATTCTGAGACACTGAGGGAGCAGAAGGAAAGATCTCTGCATGGGCTCCTTTATTGCTTTCCTAATCCTGCTTGGGTTAAATTTTTGTGGTTTAGAAGGAATTTCATTTTAGGGAGGGAAAAGAAAGCCTCGTGTTTTTAGAAATTGGGTGCTTTAATCTCGTTATGTGGCTAGAATCCAGAAGAGATGAAGGTTACGTGATCTCATTTCTCGGGCCTGGGGAGTAGTGAGAGCAAGCTTGCAGTTGGATGTGGTACAGTCCACCACCTGCTGACCATCCGTGGACCCGGCTGCCTTGCCTCCCCCAGGGTACTGTTGGAAGTGAAGTTCTGCCACGTCAGCGCAGGAAACATAGCCCTCTCCTTCCACATCTTGTTTTCATTTCAGAGAAGTTTCCAGGGACTTGCCTAGTTAGCAGACAGACCCTACAATTTTATAACTAGTCATTTGTATGCAATCTGTCCTGCGGTGGCCTCTCCTCTCTATAAATATAAAGCCCGGAGGTAAGGTCTAAGCTTTTAGGTCAGGGGTGGGATCTGAAAATGGATACCACGATCTAAGTAGGAGTTCCAAGCACACAAGAGAAATGAAATCTTCCTTTTGTTTTGGTTTATTGGTGATTTATACCTGGCTGACTTCCATAGAGAATTTGAGATGACTTTCAGTAAAAAAAAACATATATAATAAGGCCATTGAAATCATCATAAAAAATGAAAAGTCATAAAAAAGAGGAGGAAATAAGCACTGTTTGTCAAAAACTGAGCCACCATTGTTATGAGGATTAAGTATTAAATTTAGCTTTAAGCTTCCTGGCAGCCATGTCAAAAAGAGAATCACGATGGGCTACCTTATTTTCACTGAATGATAAGAGGAAGAGTTGCTCATGAAGGATGATTTGGTTTTCATGGAAATGAATTCCAAAAAGAATTTTACTGGAGAGTAAACTTTAGACGACTGTCTCTCCAGTTTGCTTCTGAAAACCTCCTCTGTGAGCCTACGTATGCTAAAGGCAGTTGAATAGCACTGCTAATCAGTGCAATGTAGAAAAGAATTTGGCATCTCGAGGCCAGAAAATTGGGTTCTAGTCCCCAAGCCATTTCACCTTAATTTCCTCATCTGTGAACTGAGCACGTCAATCCAAAAGTTTTCCAAAATCTCTTCCAGCTCTGACATTTGATGATCCCGTGATGAGATCATCCAGTTTAGCTGTGAAATCCCAACAATGGCTCTTGCTAGGCCCTGTGTGCCATCTCTTGCAAAATCAGTTTCTCATTTATTGGCTGTAGCCTAGAACCCTTACTGATTACTCAATCTCAACCCTCTCCTGAACTTTATTCTTTTTATTCTTGCACTAGCCTGGATATTGCTGTTTTCTCTCTTAAAATATGGTTTCTACACTACTCTAAACTCTGCAGAGGTCCCCTGCCATTTTATTCTTTATTGCATTCAGCAAATGTTTATTGCACGTATATTCTGGACCAGGCACTCATTGTACAGTGGTGAAAGGAGTTGGTGCCCTCCCAGAATTTGGGAGGGATGGGGGTGGGGAGACAATAGAGAAACACGTTACACTTGGCAGCCGCCCTGGCTGCCCCAGTGAGAGGAAGCATGTTTACTCGCTCGTCAAGAGACACCATTTCCTGTGGTTCCCTTTGGTGTCTGAGATAAGTCTTCTCAGAGGGTTCAAGCCTGAATAAAGGTCTCACTTAAGCAGCATGGTGTTACAGAGCAAAATGCCAACACTGCGGTGATCCTATAATTGTCTGGTAGCGCCACGACACGTTGAAGGTACTGTCTGTGATATTCTGTACTGCTGAGTCTTGATTCTGTTCACATTCATTTTTGTGGATTGGTCCATGATTCCGCCTTGTATCGATCAGCAAGCCATTCTGGTTCAATCTCAAAATATATGCCCCCTCTTGGGGCACCTGGGTGGGCTCAGTCAGTTAAGTGTCCAACTCTTGATTTGGGCTCAGGTCATGATCTCATGATTCGTGAGATGGAACCCCATGTTGGGCTCTGTGCTGAAAGTGCAGAGCCCGCTTGGGATTCTCTCCCCCTCCTCCTCCCCCACTTGTGCACACGCATTCTTTCTCTCAAACTAAATAAACCCCCCCCCCAAAAAAAAAGTAAAAAAAAAAAAATACCCCCACTCTCACCTTTTCTACTGCTGCCATGCTTACCACTGGCTTCTAACCACCATCTTTTACACGTGGATCTCCACAGCAGCACAGGATCGGGTTGGCATCCCTCCACTCTAGCACCCTCTACAGTTTGTTTTCTGTATAGCTGCTGGGATAATGTTAAAGATGGCAGACCACATCAGGTCTTTGCTGGTGAAAGCCCTTCGGTGACAGACTTCTTGTCACCATGAGAAAATTCAGTTTCTTAGTCCGGCCTTCAAGCCCTTGTCTGATTTCAGCCCCATTTAGGTCTCTGACATCATTTTCTACCACTCTGCTTCAGCCACACTAGCCTTCAGATACCCTCAGCTCATTCCTGCCTCAGCACTTTTTACTTGTTCTCTGTGCTGGAATATTCTTTGCTCACATCCTTGGGTTGCTAGCTCCCTTCTTTCAAACTATGCTTTCGTGTTTTCTTCTCAGACGGGTCTTCCCAGCTGCTCTAGAAAAAAGGACCCTTCCCACCATTCTCTACACCCTTACCCTGGTTCGTGTTGTTGTTGTTTTATAGCTTGCGTTATTATATGAACATTCTATTTTATTTGCTCCTTCCCTACAATGTACACTTCATGTCTTATTAATCACTGCACCTTGCCACCTAGAACAGAGTGATCTCCTAGCAGGTACTCAATACATATTTGTCAAATGACCTAATGAATGAATTCAGCACCCACCTTGTGCCAGCACTATGCTAAGATTTTACTTATATGAGTAAATTACATATTTAATAATGTTCAAAATAATCTCATAGTGAAGAACAATGAGAAGCATAGTGAGGATCTTTAATTATAAAGATCTTTAATTATAAAATCTTTAAAAGAGAGGGGTTCTTTTTTCTTAAAAAAATTTTTTTTTAAGTTTATTTATTTCTTTTTAATGTTTTTACTTATTTTTGAGACAGAGAGAGACAGAGCATGAGCAGGGGAGGGGCAGAGAGGGAGAGAGAAATCCCAAGCAGGCTCCATGCTGTCAGTGCAGAGCCCTATGCAGGGCTCAAACCCATGAACCCTGAGATCATGACCTGAGCAGATATCAAGAGTTGGACATTTAACCAACTGAGCCACATGGGCTCTCCAATAGATGTTAATTGTTAGAGCAGTTTGGGATTTTTAGAAAAACTGAGAAAGTAGTACAGGGTTTCCCAATACCCTGCACCCAGTTTCCTCCATCATTAAAACCTTACAGTAGTATATTATAATTAATGAATTAATAGTATACATTATTACTAGTGTTTCATTTTTTTTACATTTCCTTAGTTTTTATAGAATGTCCCTTTTCTGTTCCAGGATCCCAGCCAGGATAGCACATGACATGTAGTTGTCATATGTCCTTAGGCTCCTCTTTATTGTGGCAGTTTCT